TCGAAAATTTCATGTTTTACTTAGTACCAAATATCAAAGGGCGCGCGTTTTGAGTCTTTTTAGTCTTTACGTTGGAGTATAGTTAAGATTCCAGATTCCAAAAAAGACTGCAATAAAGTCCGGCTTGCTCTCAGTCTGTCCRTTGAATATTTGATTCCMGTTATTACAAAAGTAATAAAAATGCCAGATTTACCAGTTTAGCACATCTATAATAACGGGAATCACCCAATGAGGACACTCTTTAGGAACAGCAAAAGAAGATCATAGGTACCGGTACATTTAATTGGGAACGGAGGAAGTACGAGTACTCGTACTACTCGTACATATTTCACATCATTATTTGTATTTGTAATCGTATCTTGTCTCAATCGTGGGGTCCCTTTACGTCCTACGGTACGTTCCTAATTGAACTCGTACTCATAGGTTTTTCAATCGTGGACAGTCGTGTTTCCGCGTTGCTGCGAGTTTATAAGTTCCTCGAAGAGCAGAAAAGCTTTTTTCGATGGGCCCAATCGTTCCCTATGTCGGTAAAATAACTCGAGAAGACAGAGATTATTTCAGCCATTCGATTAGACGGACCTTTCTGTATGCACGACACAACCATGTTTCTGTTGAGGCCATATCAAATTATTTTTCTGTTCATTCCAGTCGTCGACAAAAATGATCCAAAAAAAAATGAAACCACGTGGTGTTGTAGAAACCTAAGCAGGTTTACGTAGTCAGTCGACGGCGCGCCGGAGCAGAGAGTTTAGACCCAATCGTTGTTCTCCTACGGTAAATATTAAAAAGGCGGCAAATAGTATGAAAAAAAATAAGTACGTTCGGTACCGTAAAGTAGTACAAAGTTACGTACTCATCGACGACTGTAACAATGGAATTTCTGTACACTAAGATTTCTTTTTCAACACCCTTTAGTATGCCACGGCTGTAAATTAAATGGAGTACATTGATTATTAGTATCCTCAAGCACCTTAAAGTGCTGCTAACTGCTAAAGGGTGTTAATTTTTGACCAAAGATTTTTCCTAAATACCAAAATATTGCGCACGCCAGCCCATCCGAAACAATTCTACGTGGCCGATAGTTGTAGTTACTTAACTTTTTGTAACCGTTGGTAGGTGCAACACGCACAACCCGCCCAAATTACAAGACCCAAAAAACACTACCATGTCTCTGTACTCGGGAAACCGTCGCGTTTTCCGGGAGCTCATGTGAAATGACCCCTCTAACATGTCCTGGAGGTTCAAAGGCACGAGTTCAATACGATCATCCATGGTTTTCTCGTCTTTTTTATCCTCTGAGGGACATTTCCCCACATTTCCTCACACTCACTTCCGGCACACAATTTCGACTTCGAGAAGCTTCCAACGCAAACAAATTTCAAAACACAACGACACACTATTTCTAAGATGATGTACAGAGCCACTATCCTCGTTGCCTTCTTTATGGCTGTTGCTACCAACGCCGGCATTATCGACGAACCCAGCAACCAAGCCGGAGTCACCCGCCTTTTGCAAAAGGGAGGGAAGGGCTCCAAGGCCCCCACCATGGCACCTACCAAGTCTACCAAGGGAACCAAGAAGGGCACCGTCTCCGAAGCCCCTTCGGCTTCTCCTTCCGCAGCACCTTCTGCATCACCCACAGGAGCACCAACAGGTGCTCCCACGGTCGCCCCTACCGCCTCAACCACCTTTTTGGGCACAAGCAGTTCCACTGCCTAAACGTTTTAACGATCCGATCCGATCACTCCTGTCTGCCCGCTGAAACGAGACCAGACGAATCGCAGATCGTACATGGGCTGGACTGATTTGGAAAAGGAGAAATTTATCTACAAGTCTAATCACAAGTCGAAAACAGAAGGCAACGCCATATTCATGTAACTATCACGCCAGGGTGGACGGAATAGGCTGCCAACAGTATCCTCTCCCCCACCCTTAGTGAGTTAACTCATAAATTTATAACGAAGTTGACAAAATGTACACACGAAGTATCTTGAAACTAGCTGACGGTGTGACGAACACAGTGCTGGAAGACCTTCTTCACAAGTCAACTTCCTCGTTCGTAATTTTTTAGGTGCTGAGATCACGAAATGCCGGTTTCGTGGTCAAAATCAGGGCCCTCCGGAACCAACGCGCGCGCGTCCCCCCTTTGAAATCAAATATCGGGGGTATGATTTCGTGGGTTTTTTTTCCCAAACAATAA